GTGTGTCCTGTGTATATTTATTATGTATATATAAATACACATATGTATATATTTTTACAAATATTTGTTTGTATATATATTTATACTTAAAGGGTTAGTTCACCCAAAAATGAAAATTAGGCTGCGTTTTACTCACCCCCGAGGCATCCTAGGTGTATATGACTTTCTTCTTTCAGACGAATCCAATCGAAGTTATATTAAAAATGGTCTTTGATCGTTCAAGCTGTTTAATGTCACTCAGCCGGTGTTGCATTGTTTCAGTCCAAAAGAACTTAAATAAAAATCGCCCATCCTTAAAAAAAAGTGTCTCACATGGCTCCGGGGGGTGAACAAAGGCCTTCTGTAGCGAATCAATGCATTTTTGTAAGAAAAATATCCATATTCAAAACGTAATAATCACTTGAATCTAGCTTGCGCTCACTGTTGTAAACGGAAGCAGTTCCGGGGTAATGACGTATGAGGTCGGCTTCTGAGCTGCGTACGCGGTAGCGCAGGGGAGAGATCAAAACAAAATGCCAGTCACTAATTAGAAGTACAAAACGAGGATTTGTAAAGAAGAATGTCAGAGGATTTCGAAATAAGCCAAGAGGAGACTAGTTATCCTTTGCTAAAGTAAGGAAACTTTGCTTCCTTTGATCCTGTAAACAAACGTTGATTTTCACGAGACTCCCGGAACTGCTTCTGTGTACAACTGTTGGCGCAAGCTACATTAAAGTGATTATTACGTTTTGAATATGGATATTTTTCTTACAAAACCGCATCGATTCGCTACAGAAGGCCTTTGTTCATTCACCTCCCGGAGCCGTGTCAGACTGTTTTTTATGGATGGGCGCTTTTTATTTAACTTCCTTTGGACTGAGGCATGCACCACCCGCTGGGTGGCATTAAACAGCTTGAAAGATCAAAGACAATTTTTAATATAACTCCGACTGGATTCGTCTGAAAGAAGAAAGTCATATACACCTAGGATACCTCGGGGGTGAGTAAAACGCAGCCTAATTTTCATTTTTGGGTGAACTAACCCTTTAAATATAAATATTTTATAAATAAATCTAACTTTTTTTCCCTTGATGTATACATGTGTGTGTATTTATATATACATAATAAATATACACAGTACACACACATATAGTATGTAAACAAACGTTTATTTTGAATGCGATTAATCGCAATGAATCATTTTGCAGCCGTACTTTTAACCATATAGCGCACCCTGAATGGACATCTCATAATAACGTCTTTATTTACTGTAATATCTGTTTGCCCATGTTAGGGACGTTACGGTTGCCACTCTTTGTATAACAGACATGATGGGCACAAATGTGTGTAGTTTCTGGTTTCTAATGACTAATCATGTGGGTGATCAAGATGGAAACAAATTATATTATAAGTAAATGATATGGGAAACAGGAAATAAAATAAAGTCAAACCTGAATTAGAGCCTTGTGGATCAGCCACATTCTGACTGGATCCTGATGCTGAAACATACACACACTTTCAAATGGGTTGTGCAACATGGTTGTGCAAATGACAAAACATGGGGTTGAAACCAAACATGATACTCAAAAAAATAAAGAGGATGTTTATTTTGGACCTGTGATGTGTGGGTTGGCACATATTTGCGGTGTGCTTGCGAGTGTGTGCGTGTGTGTATGATCTCACTCTTTTCCGTTGAGTCTCCAATAATAATCTTGCCCCCACGCTTGCTGGTTTTCTCCACTGAGAGCGCCGTGCTCAACCCCTGCTCGTGTTTTCCCAGGCCCTGCCCATCTCGGAATCCATACTTCTGCATGATTTTATGAGCCACAGTACCACTGAACAACACACACAGACAAGCAATGGACTTTGCTAAATTAATGACATATAATACACTTCATATACAAGTGTAGTGTACAACTGAACAAACTCAAATTTAATGCTTCAGACTCCAAGCTTAAATGTTATATTTCAAATCAATTCTTTAAATATAAATTCATTTATATGTTAATTCATAGTTTAAATCTTCATTTATATTAAATGTTATAAGATTTACATAACTTCTAGTTAAATCAAAATGTCCTGGTTAAATTTAAATCTTTTTAAATTCTTTGAAAATCTACATTTATTGTTTAAGCATAAATCTTTATTTATATTAAGAATTTATTGTGTTAAATCAAGATTTTCTGGTTAAATATAAATCCTATCATCAAATGTAAAATATTTGGGTAAATCTAAATATTCCTCATTAAATAGAAATTCGGTTTCATTTTACCATCCAATTCCCACTATTAACAAGTTGCTTATTAGCATGCATATTACTAGCATATTGGCTGCTTATTATTAGTACTTAAACAGCACATATTAATGCCTTATTCTGAATGAGCATATTTTAGATTCCTTAATAATACACCATACCTCAGGACTTGAAGCAAAAATCATAGTTATTAGTGAGAACTGGTCCCCAAACTAAAGTGTGACCCAAAATTCTTTAAAATAAATTATTTGGAAATCTAACATAAACCTTAATTTATACTAAATATGTGTGTGTGTGTTCGTTCTGGTCTAAATGTTTTCACTTGGATTCAACATTTTTTCCTTAAGGTTAATCAAATAAATATCATCCATGAATCTAAATTCTCTGGAATTCTAAATGTATTTGTTAATGATGCAACCTAAAATGATCTGAATTTCACATTATCCAATTAACACTATTCAGTACCGAGGAATATTCAGGACTTTTTTCCAAAAGGAATTGCAAATTGTATTTTCAATTGAGTTTTCCATATGTGGAAAATCTTGCATTACCGTTTGCATTTTCGCTTTCGCAAGCGCACAGTGACTGCCACATTTCAAATGAAAAAGCAAAGTCCATTTGCAACTGCATTTCCCATGTCTTACGAGTTATGAGCCTATCATATTTAAATAGCAATATTAATAACCAAATTAAATTTTTCACTCTCTCTGCGTCGTGCATGTAACCTGCCAAAACTCAAATGGAATCGCAATTCCTTTTGCATTTGAATTTCCGATGTCTACACGGAAAGCTGTCAATCAATGTGAGGGGCGGGACTATACTTGTATGTTTGTATTGGGAGGTGACGTCACTCACAGACGACCGTGCCGAATGCTTTGATCAATGGAGGTAATTGGTAAAGGCTCCGCTAAAGGCAGCTGCCAATCTGTTCCTGCCTGTGACAACCTTCTTGGCACAATACATAATTCTGTCTTTTTTACCCCAAATGCAGCAATATCCCCTGCTAAAAGCGGGAGCAACAACGGTACGCACAATAGGTCAATATTCACTATTACCCAAATGCTTTTCACCTGTCTCAACATCTCTCATTGTTTCTCTCACTCCGATTGATGCAAGAGAGTAAACAGACAGTGCAATTCTACACTTATTACAGTACATTTTATTTCTTTCTTTTAAACTGTACTGTAATAGAGCGCATCACACCTGTCTCAAGATTTTATTACTGTTTGCACTCTGATTGATGCACGTAAGCAAACAAAACCGTGACAATCTATATTTATTTACCCATTTTCCACCTTACTTTATATTTTATGTAATTTTATATTTTAACAGTTTTAATTCGTGTCGTGCCGAAAATTGATCGTCTGCCGAAAACTGATTGCCGTCCATTTTACACTTGCCAAAAAGTGATTACAGACTCTACGTATTGAGTGAACTGTTCTTTTTACCTGTTGAAATACTTTTTGACAGCAACCATGAATGAAATCAAGTCATTTTGAGGCAGAAAAAATAGTTCACTTTTTGGCAAGTGTAAAACTGCATTTTATGGATTTTATTGGCCATTTAAAGGTATTTCAAAAATCAGTGTTTGATTAGCCTGTATTTATTTAATTTATTGTAGACGTTATCTCTAAGTGAAGCAACATTTGCTGAAATATCCACAAGATGCAGTATAAGAGCGCACGGACATCTATCGATCATTTGCGCCTCAAAGGGTACACTGTAAAATGCTTAACGTTGCTTAATGCGTTAAGAGAGTTTTTTTTAAAAGACCAAACTCAGTAAACACAAACGGTTTTCTATGGGTAAAACGCTTAACGCATTAAATGCATTGCGTTCTTATTATGAACTAATTTGCTTGTCTGTACATAAAATGCTTTCATATTTATTATGTGTTTTCTGAGTTTGGTCTTTTAAAAACACTGCCTTAACGCATTAAGCCACGTTAAGTGTTGTCCGTACGGTAGGCTATTCTATGGGAGGAAAACGCTTAACGCGGAATTAAACGCATTGCGTTCTTATTATAGCCTCATCTTCTTGTCTGTAAATAGTATGAATTACTAATAATGTGTATACGGAGTTTGGTCTTTTAAAAACACTCTCAATTAACGCATTAAGCCAGGTTAAGCATTTTAGAATGTCCCTGTCAAGGTTGAGTTTGTTACAATAGCAACAGTAGACTCACTATGCATTGTGTTTTAAAAATCAAGCAATCATTGTTCAAAGACCACTTTTGTTATATCAAGATCACGAGAAAATTAAGTTGTGAATGTGATCACGAGAAAACAAGAAACAAGAAAAAATTATAATAATGCATGGCCGCTTAGAACTTCCGTACTATTACAGATTAAAAGAAAGGAATAAAATGTACTGTAATAAGTGTAATATTGCTATTTAAAGGGGTCATATGATGCTTTTTTAAAGATCATTATTTTGTGTATTTGGTGTAACAGAATATGCTGACATGCTTTAATGTTCAAAAAACACATTATTTTACAAATACTGTACATTATTGTAGGTCCTCTATGCCCCGCCTTTCTCAAACACTTGGTTTTCTACAAAATCCCTCCTTCCAACAAGCGCAGTCTGCTCTGATTGGCCAGCTGACCCAGTGCATTGTGATTGGCCGAACACCGCAAGCACTCGTCGGAAATGTAACGCCCCTTACCATAATCGCGAGCATCAGCTTTCAAAATAAATGTAAAGACAGAGCCCGAAAGGGGAACAGAGTCGTGTGACAGACACAGTGATGAAGCTGGTATGTGTTTGTAATGTGACCCCCTCTCTCTCGCACTCTCTCTCTCTCTCTCTCTCTCACACACACACACACACACACACACTGCGCAAAACTCCGCATTTGAACAGTCAATAGCAAATACTTAAACTAATAACAAAACAGTAGCTGATTCAGAAGCGCCAGATTGTCATAGCAAAGTCAGAATTACCTCCTCTCCTAGGTTCACGAAACGGTTGTCCATAAAATGCATTGCTGTTCTGTTGTAAGTAATCTTAATGATTCCTAAATGCATCTACTTTCGGAAGGCCAAATAAAGTGCTTTTGCTTTCGCTTAGAAACACACAGCGTCCCCCTGACATGCTGCTTCAACACTAACTGAGGTTACTGAAACCACGCCTTCTTTCTTTGCGGGAACATTTGGGTGGCATTATGCAAATATTTCCACACAGTGAGGTAGATATGTGGGGGCGTGTTAGAACGAGCCGTTTTAGGGAGTCTTAACTTTGATAAAGAATATATCTTTGGATTTGAGACTTTAGTCTTTGCAACTTCAGGGATCTTATCTATGCACAATCAGCTTGTAATACTCCAAAGAGAAAGGAAAACTTGAAATCGCATCATATGACCCCTTTAAATATGACAGGCTCATAACTCGTAAGACATGGGAGTTGCAAATAGCATACAGTTGCAAATGGACTTTACTTTTTCATTTGAAATGTGACAGTCACTGTGCGTTCACGAAAGCGAAAATGCAAACGGTAATGCAAGATTTTCCATATATGGAAAACGCAATTGAAAACACAATTTGCAATTCCATTTGAAAAAAGTCCTGAATATTCCTCCATAATTCAGCCAATAAGAACATCCTCTATCTATAAACAATAATGACTTTATTTATAGCGCTCTTACCCCATGTTGGCCAGGAATGAATTAGTTGGTCCTGGGGGAGATCGTGGTCTATCAGATTCATCAAAAATGGGAGGTGGGATTGCTGCTTTCGACCTCTGCCGACCATCTTCATCATATGAATATGTTGCTGTCATGACAAAAAACACACAGTTTTAACTTATTTACTCACATATCCCCAACTAGACTTAAGACTGTGTAAAGCTGCAGACACGATTCGACAACACACAAAATCAACATCATTAGGGATGCATCGAAATGAAAATTCTTGGCCGAAACCGAACAAAATGAAACACTGGGCTGAGGGCCGAATAACGAACACGGTTGTTCGCATTTTTTCCCCATGTATTTTGCCATTTTTTTCACCACTGCATAAATTAAATAGCCAAAATGTGCTTTTTACTGTTTTGTCCTGCTTTTCAAATAAAAAATCAATTACAAAACAACAATTGAAAAAAAATGTACTTAACACTGAACATTTTTTTTACATTCTAGCAGACATGATACCAACAAAGCACAATTGAACTTAAAATTAATAAGTTAGTAAACATAATATTGTTTGGCCATTTTTGAGACCCCCTTCTTGAATCAGGCATGTATTTTTTACTGTACAAATAAATGCAGCCTTGCTGAGCAGAATAAACTTCCTTTAAAACATTAGAACATATTACAGATCCCAATTTGAACACTATGTGCGAATGTTATAATAAATGTATTAATAGAGCTGTTGTAGGGTAATTATTATCATCATTATGAATGTTGATGGAGTTGTTGCTTTTATTTCGGCAAAAACCCGCAGGAAGATCTCAGTGCTTCTTCTTGTTGACAACAGCAGATTTATAAATGATTCTCATTATGAATTTGGGAAGATGTTTTTGTCGCACGTATCGCATTGTCACATGCCTTGACGAGTACCACAGTTTCAGTGTAGATTTTCCCTGGCTTTACTGTACAAATAAATGCAGCCTTGCTGAGCAGAATAAACTTCCTTTAAAACATTAGAACATATTACAGATCCCAATTTGAACACTATGTGCGAATGTTATAATAAATGTATTAATAGAGCTGTTGTAGGGTAATTATTATCATCATTATGAATGTTGATGGAGTTGTTGCTTTTATTTCGGCAAAAACCCGCAGGAAGATCTCAGTGCTTCTTCTTGTTGACAACAGCAGATTTATAAATGATTCTCATTATGAATTTGGGAAGATGTTTTTGTCGCACGTATCGCATTGTCACATGCCTTGACGAGTACCACAGTTTCAGTGTAGATTTTCCCTGGCTAACAAGCAGATATGCCGCGAGCTCACGCAGCGCTGTCAAAACACATGCAAATCGTGCGTGTACTAGAAAACATAACATTCTGCAGGTTAATTAACTAATTGTATCGCGGTATAATTTTTTTCAATAACGGTGATATGAATTTCCGATATACATTACCAGTGTTTCCCATACATTGATTTATTTGTGGCGTTTGACTTTGTTGAATAAACATGAGCACTGCACGTTTCAAAATCAAAACGCGGCGCGGGTGTTTTATATGAATGTATCTCTGAAGGGAAAGGACTGTCTTCAGAAAAGTTTCTATGACATTTTCATTTTTATCTGATAAAGTAGCGTTCATGAGCGGAGCTGCTTTGATTACAGCCGTTACTGGGGAAACCGCTAGTTTTATCACTTTAAAAGCGCCTCCTGTTGGTGGAGAATGAATTTGCATTTTCAATAATAAGCCCGTCTCCAGCAACATTTCCAGTTTTTGTGGTTGCTCAATTTTTTTTTGTTTTCTGCAGCACTTTTCATACCCTTTTTTTCTGGCTGAAGCACATTTGTTTCAATCTATAAGAATAATCAGCCTACACTACTAGTCAAACGTTTTTGAACAGTAAGATTTTTTTTTTTTTTTTTTTTTTTTTTTTTTTAAGAATTATCTTCTGCTCACCAGGGCTGCATTTGTTTGATCCCAAGTACAGCAAAAACAGTAACATTTTGAAATATTTTTACTATTTAAAATCGCTTTCTATTTGAATAGATTTTAAAATGTAATTTACTCCTGTGATGTGCAGCTGAATTTCAGCATCATTACTCCAGTCTTTAGTGTCACATGATCCTTCAGAAATCATTCTAATATGCTGATTTGCTGATTATCAATATTTAAAACAGTTGAGTACTTTTTTTCAGCATTCTTTGATGAATAGAAAGATCCAAAGATCAGCATTTATCTGAAATAAAAAGCTTTTGTAACACACTATTCCATTCAAAAGCTTAGAGTAAGTATAATTCTTTGGTTACACTATTTCGATAGTCCACTTTAGACATGCTACTAACTCTAAGTAACTACATGTCAACTAATTCTCATTCATTTGCAACTACATGTCTACTAACTCTCAGAGTAGACTGTTAGGGTAGGTTTAGGGTTAGTAGAATAAGTTGACAAAGAAAGTGTTAGAAGATATAAAGCAGACAGTCTACTAATACTCTACTAACTGCTAGTTGACATGTAGTTGCAAAGTTACTTGCTGTTAATAGAATGTCTAAAGTGGACAATTATAAAAATGAATACTTTTATTTAGCAAAGATGCTTAAAATTGATCAAAAGTGATGATAAAGGCATTTATAAATGTTACAAAAGACTTCTATTTCAGATAAAGTGTTCATATCGATATCGGAATGATATCGTATCGACCGAAATTAAGAAATATATCGTGATATAAATTTTGGTCATATCATCCAGTCCTAGTTTAAGGCCATTTCGCGATTTCAATCATCATACAATAACCAGCCCTTCAACTTCTCAACGGAGACATGAGATGCAGATGCAGCACTGTCTCTCGCTGTCGGTGCTTATATAATGATTTTTCCGTCTTTCTCGGACAGTTTTAAATACTTTCACACTGCAGACATGTTTGCTGCATTAGCGCAACGCCTCTATTTGATCGCGTCAAGTCATTGTTCGTTACATATTATTTGGTCTTTCCGCTTATTTCAGCTGGCGAACATTCTGTGCATCCCTAAACATCTTATTATGATTTCAGACTTGGGAATGAACAGGAAATGAAATATTTTTTTAAGGTCAGTGAGATTTACTTACAGTCTCGATCCACTAGTGATGTCGGAGGGGCGATGGCAGCTCCACCTATACCTGTGTGTGCCATATAAACAATATCTCACAACAACACTGATGCTCATATCAGTTGCCCTACTTAGACCTCCTGGTATTAACATCTTGGATTCAATCACAAGTGACAAAACATAGGGAAGTGAGATCGAAAGACAGAAATGAGAAATAAAGAAACGGTTCAAAGGGCACTCACCCCTCTTCTTCTTTTCTCTGTCATACTCCTCCTCCTCATCTGATTCGCCTTGTTCTGTTGGGAAACGTGAAAATCCACTTGGCGCTCCACCTCCTTCATGCCTCTCTTTACGCTTCCTAACACACAGTTTAACAAAACAATTCAACAAAACAACACTAATCTATGCAGTTCAGACATTACACTGCCTGTCATAAGTTTGGAATAATAAAGATATTTGAACATTTCTGAAATAAGTCTCGAGCACACCAAGGCTTCATTTATTTGATCAAAAATACAGTGAAAACAGTAATATCGTGGAATATTATTACAATTTAAAAAATAACAATTCTATGTGAACAATTCTTTAAAATGTACTTTATTGCTTGATGGCAAAGCTGAGTATTCATCTTCAGTGTCACTGATCAATGATTCTTCAGAAATCATTCTAATATGGTGATCTGGTGCTCAATTGTTATCAATTATTGGTGCTTAATTATAGGGCTGTGCGATATTGAAGAAAAATGCAGTAACACATTAAATAATGCGATATTCAATATGCGATACGATAATGCTTAAAGTGCCACAAGATCAGATTAAACAGTTTTACTCAGCTGTTGCGGAGTCAGTTCTGTGAACTTCTATAACTATCTTGTCATATATTTTGTAAATCTATGTTAAAGTGATTAGTAACGACTACTTTGTCGATTTACTGTCCGATGAGGATAACGAAAAATGCTCGAGCGGCGTATTGTCGCTATCGGAACGCATCGGCACCCTGCCTAACTTGTAGCTATTCTTACTTTTGTGGTACAGAAATGTTGTTCATATGTATATATGTATGTATGTATGTATCAAGGGATCCTGTAAAACCACAACAAATTCCTTGTGTTTGTGCACACTTAAGTGGTGAATAAAGCACATTCTGATTCTGATTCTAATATAACTAGCATACATGTCTCACTTTTTGTGAGAAGAAAGCACCCCTACAACAACTTCTGAAAGTGAACGGTAGTGTTTTACTCAAGCATTACATAAAAATGTCATTTTAACATTAGTGTAATCATTTTAACACGAGTTTAGGAACTGAATAATAAAAAGGAAAAATACAACACTGCTTAGTATTTACTCTATGAATTCAAGATGCACTGATTCGTATTTAAGCTACAACAGTTATTTAGGAAAGAGCAGTGAGTGATTTTCTCTTTGCCTTTTGTTCATGGCCCCAAATATTGCAAGCCGTAGCAATATGCATATTGCGATATTTCGATCATTTCTATATATTGCACAGCCCTACTTAATTACTAATACAGAAAAACAGCTTTTGCTGCTTAATATCTATGTGGAAACTGTGATACATTTTTTTCAGGATTCTTTGATGAATATAAAGTTCAAAAGATAATTATAACATCATTTCACAAAATTACTGTTTTACCGGAATTTGTTCCAACAAACAAAGCCTTGGTGATCATAAGAGACTTCTTTCAAAAACATAAACTATTTGTTACTATTCGTGTCTGTTTTGGACACATTAATGTATGCATAACTTAAAATTGTGTGTAAATTATAAGTACTGTCTGTAAGTCTGTCTAAATGTATTCATTTGTGCAAATATTGTGAACTATGAGGTATTCTTTGTGCAATAAATAGTGAAAGAGTGGACAAGTGAGCTATTTTGGACACATCAGAAGAAGCAAACTTTCCATTTTATGTCCTCTCTTTTTTTGTACTAAAACATTTAACATTTTTGGTAATTGTATTTCTAATTATTTTAGTAAACGCAATTAATATTAACGTAATTGTCATGGTTGTATTATTTAACAAAATATTCTGATATCACGTATAGTGGCCAGACTACTCGCTAAGATATTGGCATCAGTCATGAAAAATATTGGTAGCCATATTGGTTGCCAATTAACAGACTTACCAAATACTGACAACATTTTCTGAATTAATTAATGGGAAATCATGGATGCATACTTCTCTCTCTCCTCAATCTCTTTCTGACGCTCCTGTTCTCTCTGTCTTTGTCGTTCTTCGCGGTGTCTCTTCACCACTTTCTCATAGTCGTTGGGAAACATGGGGTCATACTCATCAGCCAATGGAATCAGCACATCTCCGGATGAAAACCCAACTGATGTCGAGTCCTACCATAGGCACGCACAATGAAGCACTTAGTGTGAAATCCTCATTCATTTTTAATGTGACATATTACTGGGTGAAAGGTTTGTTGTTTTTACAGGCCAAACATTGTGATGCCAACATTTAAAAAATCTTGGAATGGTTCAGTGCAGTTATCAAATTGCAAAGGCTGCTATTTAATTAAATATATGCACTACTATTACTATTAATAACAACAACAATAATAACATCATTATTATTATTATTTTATAGTCATATTTTTGGCCAAATTTGTGTAGCCCTACTAACATACAAAGTAAATCTGGAGCTTTTTTTAAATTTAAAAAATACATAAATAAAGTGCAGCCCTCGATGCCAATATTTAGACAGTAATATACACAGAGTTTACCTTCATTCCAGCAGCAATGTGTGGAGGTGTATCAGAGATCTGCCTGTCATCTACAGCACTTCCTCTCTTCAGATCAATAACCGGAGCTAGAACATTGGACTGCCTCGTCCTCTGAGTCTACAAAAGATTTCAGATTAATTTATTGGTTCTCACACCTTTTGACTTTACATGTCACAAGAATGAATTTCCATAACTTTTCCAGTCATTGTGATTACTGGATAATGATGTAAAAAAAATTTAAAAAAATAGAGAGACAGCCCATTTTCAGCCAATTAAACATTTTAAATATAGTTAAAGGGGTCATATGATGCGATTTCAAGTTTTCCTTTCTCTTTGGAGTGTTACAAGCTGATTGTGCATAGATAAGATCCCTGAAGTTGCAAAGACTAAAGTCTCAAATCCAAAGATATATTCTTTATCAAAGTTAAGCACTGGGTCAGCTGGCCAATCAGAGCAGACTGCGCTTGTCGGAAGGAGGGACTTTGTAGAAAACGAAGCGTTTGAGAGAGGCGGGGCATAGAGGACCTACAATAATGAAGAGTATTTGAAAAATAATGTGTTTTTTGAACATTAAAGCATGTCAACACATTCTGTTACACCAAATACACAAAATAATGATCTTTAAAAAAAGCATCATATGACCCCTTTAATGAAATAAAAATGGTCTTTTCCAACCGGGAAATAATTTTAAAATAAAAACAAATAAATAAGATGAAATATTCCAGGTTTTACATGACAATGGGAAACTAATTACTTCTTATCTTTAGTTATGAATCTAAAGATCTGTAGTAATTTCCTGTGGACTGCATTATCATTTTCAGGCATGACATAAACATTGACCCACCTTTGCTTGTGTCAATGCAGCTTTCTTCACTTTCAACTGAGACTGCAGCAGTTTGAAGTTTTTAGACCACCCTTCTGTTTTAGTGTCGCTTGTTGCGACCCCCAAATCATCATATAAAGACATTTTACCTCCTTCCCAACCAAAAACTCTGAAATACACACACAAGAAACATACTTACATGAGCATGATTAAACCCACGTTTAAACGTATTCAAAACATCGGTGTGTTATGCAACAAAAATTAGTAAATTTGGCGTGTGTGTACATTTTAAACATAAAAACAAAATCTAAATGAACCTACAGCTAGAATTTCCCTTATAACAAATTATAAAAGATTGTTTTTACAGGAAAGCATTAACGTTATTTATATATTTAGCATTCACTTCCATGCGGCTTGCAACGATTACTGTACGTTACCATATAAATCGACTAAATGGCTATTGTCTAACCTTAAATCACTAATCCACTTTATCTGTCAAATATATAAGGTTAGATACACACCTTTAACGAAAAGAACTCCTCTACTCGCTTAGCACTGTCGCTTAGCATAACATGCTACGCGTGTCGCGGACGAATGACATCACCCACTGTGGTCAAACGCACCTCCGAATTTTGAATCTCACTTTTCAATTAATTTTTTATTAATTGTGTTTTTTGATTTTATTGTTTTATTTACTGTGCAGAGCCTTCCATCGCAGTGTACAGAAAAACAAAGATTCACAAACTTTGGCATGTTGCGTCTGCGGTCACGTGGCTGTGGCGCAGTGGTGTTTCCACAATATTCATGTTAATGAATCTGCGGACATGTAAGTAAATAATGTTGGTAACACTTTAGTATAGAGACCAATTCTCACTATTAACTAGTTACTTATTAGCATGCATATTATTAACATATTGGCTGTTTATTGGTAGCCTACTTATAAAGCACATATTCTGCATGAGCATATTCTACATCCCGAATCCTACCTAATACCTAAACTTAAAGGGATAGTTCACCCAAAAATGAAAATTTGATGTTTATCTGCTTACCCCCAAGATGTAGGTGACTTTGTTTCTTCAGTAGAACACATATGATGATTCACATATGATGATTTTTTACTTTAGCCGTTGCAGTCTATCAGTCGTATAATGCATGGCAATGGTAACAAAATCTATGAGAGTAAAAAAAACATGCACAAGCGCGGACGTGAAGCACATGGCGGAACACGTGAGAGACGCTCTGGATGAAAGCGCACTTTCACTCTCTGACAGCATATGGTGCTAAACTGCAGAAATAATAATAATAATAATAATAATAATAATAATAATAATAATAATAATAATAATAATAATAATAATAATAATTCATTTAAATGAAACCCTGTAAACAAAGCAGCTGCTCTACTTTCTGTTTCTGAATCGTGTTTAAATGATTTAAACAGCCATTCAGATTTGTGTATTTGATACCAAATACCTGAATATTTAGACTTGATAGGCTATTTATTTTCAAACTTTTTTTACATTTTAATCTGGAATACAACATGCCCTAGATATTGTTTGAAAGCGTTTTGATTCTTTATTGTTCGGTCGCACTTTACATTAGGGCTTCATTAGTTAACATTAGTTAATTCATTAGTTAAACTGCCAATGAAAAAATCTTCTGAACATTCATTAATCTTATGTATTCCAATATTTAATAACACGTTGTTAAAATCGAAAGTTGCAACTGTGTTATTTAATGAGCTAACATGAACTAAGACTTAATAACTTCTGTAGCAAATGTAGCTATTGCTCGTTGTGAGTGTTAATGCATTAACTAAGCTTAACTAATGAGGTCTTATTGTAAAGGGATACCTATTAGTCTTTATAGTTCTTTTGCACTTTAATCTGTTAAAACTTTTAGCTTTATAAATTTTTCTGTATTGCTATATTGCATTTAAATGTTCAGTTATTTTTGTTATAAGAAAAAAGTTATTAAACCTGTTATACTGTATTATGACATCACTTTTTTAAAACTAAATTTAAATACCGTGATAATACCGTATACCGTGATAAAAGCATTAGCAATTAATCGCACCATGAAAATTTCCCTAGCGCGTACACACCTCACGCACCGGATGCCGTGCGCGCGCTCAAAGACAGTTGGACATAGTGGTGTATTAGAGGTAAAAAATGACATAAATACTGTTTGGTTTCTGGCACAAACCGATCGTTTCGTGTCTTAGGACATCAATGTGTCGTCACGAGCCGCAGGGTTTAATTTGGATTTGTCTGTGCATGTTTTTTTTACTCTCATAGATTTTGTTACCATTGCCATGCATTATACGACTGATAGACTGCAACGGCTAAAGTAAAAGATCATCATTTGTGTTCTACTGAAGAAACAAAGTCACCTACATCTTGGATGCCCTGGGGGTAAGCAGATAAACATCACATTTTCGTTTTTGGGTGAACTATCCCTTTAACAACTACCTTACTAACTATTAATAAGCAGCAAATTACGAGTTTATTGAGGCAATGTCGTAGTTACTGGTTTGTTAATAGCGTGAATTGGACCTTAAAATAAAGTGTGACCATAATGTTTTATTCTAGTCTTCATAAGGAAAAAAACTATTACATGGTCATGGACTATGGCGTAATACTTTCCACTTTGTTCAATTTTTAGACAGAATATCACGCAAAAACCATGACAACAACAGGTAGGCTGTATTATATTATTATAGTATTGTATTAATTAATATAGTAATCTACATTAATTTACTCAACCGTTACTAATTAATTATCAGTAGTTTAATTATTTATTTATTATTATTTAGCTTTTGTTTGCATTAATGCAGAATATAGTATCCTGCCAATGAAGCCTAAACTATATGTTTTTTATATGGCTATGGCTTATTGCTGCCTTATTTTGTAAGGATCATCTTATCAAGAACGCCAACTGACTTTCATTATTTGAGATTACTTAAGATGTATTTACTATATTTGATCCACATGTTCAAGTGGGCATGAGCATAGATATATAAAAAGTATCTTAACGGAAAAAAATAATTTCTTAGTTTCTGCATGTTTTAATGAGTGATATTGTTTCAAATCATGAAACGGGTGTTGCCTGACTTTGACACATATCTTCAGAACAAAACAAAACTATAACAACCTCATTTTTATATGGTCAAATGTAATTATTCTGACTGTTTGAGTTTGATTTAAATTAACCATTGGTCTTCCATAGTGGCATACATTTTTAGATCAGGATAACCACAGTTAAAACTACTACTTAATTAGAAGCAGGGGCATAGATTACGCGGGGGACATGTCCCCCCCACTTTTAATATCACGTAAATTCGTCACCCGCACTTTTTCGGGCAAGTGTGTTCGCATAGAGGTTCTCAAGAGCCAGTGTGAATAAATATAGATTTAAATTCAAAGAGACAGGATAGTCTGTGCATGATCTGATGTTTTATTCGGACCCAGAATAAGGCGAGATGAACATCGCGGAGTGCTAAACACTCTGTGCAGTGTATGTTTCATTCATACTCGAAGCCGGAGGGCACTCTCACCCAGAAAGTCGTACCAGGAAATTCCTAATATGGACAAAAGCGTCCAGCTACCGCTGTATGAAAACAGTTGTTTTCAGAAAAACAGAAACGTTTGGAAACATGAAGACATTAAACATACGATTGGGACAATATGGTTTATTTGTGTTTCTCACGTCATCTCCGGGTAATAAATACAGTATATGAACAATGCAGTGCTAACTGACATAGCATTTATTACAGTATTGAAACTATTCTGCCTTATTATGTGATAAAAGTGTTTGTAGTATATAAACAAATCATTATTATTGGTTATTGTCCAGCAGTTATCTGATTTCTAAGCCAATTAAAAGCTAGAAATGAGAGAAAAAATCAAGTTGACTATACACTACCAGTCAAAAGTTTTTTTATGTTTTTTAAAGCAGTCTCTTCTGTTCACCAAGCCTGCATTTATTTGATCCAAAGTACAGCAAAACAGTAACATTTTGAAATATTTTTACTAGGCTATTTCAGTTTTCTATTTGAATATATTTTAAAAATGTAATTTATAGTGATTTCAAAGCTAATTTTTTTGCATCATTACTCCAGTCACACTATCCTTCAGAAATCATTCTGATATTCTGATTTGCTGCTCAAAAAACATTTATTATTATTAAAGCAGTCTCTTCTGTTCACCAAGCCTGCATTTATTTGATCCAAAGTACAGCAAAACAGTAACATTTTGAAATATTTTTACTAGGCTATTTCAGTTTTCTATTTGAATATATTTTAAAAATGTAATTTATAGTGATTTCAAAGCTAATTTTTTTGCATCATTACTCCAGTCACACTATCCTTCAGAAATCATTCTGATATTCTGATTTGCTGCTCAAAAAAATATTAATAATAATAATAATTAAAAAAGAAATTTCGAGAGCGCATTATTGTAGTGTGAAAGCACATTAAAGGTGGGGTAAGCGATTTTTCAAAAACACTTTAGAAAACGATTCGGGCCGAATAGCAAAACAAACTTGTAGCCAATCAGCAGTAAAGGGCGTAACTACTCAGGATGTACGCAACAGCTAAAGTCTGTCTAGTACACTGGACTCGACAAAGCGACCTTTGAAAATCATTTGAAATGTGTGTCAATATGTCATGAATGGAATGCAGCAGCAATTTTGCTTTGTTTCACAGAACTAATCCGTTGCCTGGGTTGCGTACGTATGTGTGGGGTGGAGCTATCAAAATAGGGGCGAGACACTTTTGGGGTAGGGGCGTGTTTGTTTTGGTGATTTTAAATGTCAACATTGGCTACCAGAAATCGCTTACCCCACCTTTAATATAATGCATTTTGCTCTTGCACAAAACTGGACGCGCGCTCAGATACACGCTGCTCTCGCACCTGAATTAAACATTGTCAAAAGTTATCATTATTCACTTTTAAAAAGTAGTCTCAAAACAGATTTGTGCAGGGCCTTTCCTTGATTTTTTTTATTGTTGTATTTTTGTTTTAAAATAAACTGGTTATTGTAGCTACTTTGTTTTACTATATCTCTTTTATGTTTGTATTTTGATCTTTTCTGCGAATGCACATATGCATCTCTTTGTAAAGTAGGCTACTTTGTATACACTGTTTTAAAAGGTGCTATATAAATGAAGCTTAAACCAATCAGACCTCCACAACTGACCGATGAAAATACTACGTGAAATCTAATTGGCTGAGTGAACTGAACCTGGAATTCTTTTGACAATCAAAGATGGATTTTTAATTTCTTTCCAGTTTAATAATATTTAGCAATGTTAATTAAATGTAGCCTATAGAAATGGCTAGGAATTGGGTGCTTGGATGATTTGTACATAACCTCTGTCCACCTGGTTGGTCTCTGAGCAATTGATCTAAAAACACTCAATGTTATGTCATAATATGTCAGATACCTCAACTGAATTTAAAATCATTGCAATAAATTCTCAGTTGGTATGATGAAAATAATAAGTAACAACTCATCAAATCAACATCAAATGCAAAAATAGATATAAATGATGCAAGATATAATACAATAAATGCTCTAATAGCATCGCTGTTTGGACATTTATTGGGAGTTTTTTTTTTTTTTGATCCAGTGTTTGTTTTCAGGTCTGAATTTTTTTTTTGTTATGATTTTTTTTCATGAAAATCCACTTAATATTAGCTACACATTCAATGGCACTCTCCTCTAAAACAGTGAATATACAGTTATATGACAGTTACATGTAATTACATTGTCTGCAAATGCATTAAAGCCATAGAACAGAATGTAGTAATGTTATGGCAAATATGAAAAATTCATTATAGTGTTATATTTGGTCTCCAAATCATAAGTATCTGTTTAGGGAATAGTGCATCTGACCCATATCTAAATAGTTCTGTCTTAAATCAGGAGATTTAAGATTAAGGATTCAGGTGCGAAAAAGAATTCATATCTATATAGCGCATGAGCACAGAGAGATTTGAGAGTGTACAGGACACAGTTTGAGTGAGAGGAGAGACACGTTTTAAGTGCAAGTTTTGTGCTAGAGCAAAATAAATATATATCATATATTAATGTGCTTTCGCGCTACAATAATGCGCTCTCGACATTTGTCATTAAAATAACGGCATAACTTACCCTTAACTGTAGTTTACAAGTCCATTTGAAGCGTACGTGCCCTGTAAGCATTTTCTTGAGGAACTGCATAAATATTCATTCATTCATCATTCATTCATCAGGCTGTCAGGAAGCTGAACTCCCTCCCGACCTTGCCCCCCCCTCCCCTCTTTTGCCCAATGCACCACTGAACTCTGAACCCCAGACCCTCCCAGCTCCCACATCCCCAGGTCCTTCCACTCCCCCCTCCCACTACCACACTGGGACCTGCACCAGTCACTTAGTGCAGCATTGGTCTGCTCACTACGCCATTCAGCATTGAACTGACCTCATTCAAGTACCTCTTCTGACAGATTAAATAAAGAACTCTCTGAGCTTTGTCACTTTAATCAGTCTGAATAAGCTCTTTTGCACTACAATCATTATATCTGCACTGTTTGTTTACGTCACTGGTTTGCACTCTATCTGCCATGTGCCTTGTGCTGCTTTATTTATTTTTTGACATGACCTTATTTGTATAGTTGTATTTTATATTTAATCTGTATCCATTACCGCGGGAAGTAGGGGTGCTGAGGGTGCTGCAGCACCCCCTGGAGTGTAGCCCACGAAGAAATGGGGGTGCTGGGGGTGCGGTGTTAAAAATAAATGAATGATCAATATGTAATACAAAATAAATTATATTCATTTTATTAATTAGTATATTCATTAAAATGAATTGAAAAAAAGTAGCCTAAGCCTACAATGACAAGAAGCAACGGTTAAATATGAGTTAAGTTGAATCAAATTGACTGTGAAAGTCGTTTCAACTGATTAAACTTATTAAATTGACTTTTGTTGCCATGATTTATGGATTATATTATAACCTGTAACATGTCTCTGCCGTTCCCAAATTAAGAATTAACAACAATTTCTACAGACAGCAGAGAAAGAGCGAGAGCGTCTAGCAGCAACAAATCTCGCATTTTCAATACTTCAATGACAAAGTCACTCATATTAAACATAAAACTTTTATGAACAGATAAGAACAAATAAGATCAGTGGCGTAGCGTCTGGTTATGCAGGGTATGCAGGTGCATATGGGTCCGGGCAGTTTGGGGGCCCGCCGAGGAAACGAATATAGCCCTGCATGGGCCCGGCCCTTGTCCAACAGCTTTATGAGAATTCTCAGCCAGAGTCCGACTGGATACCGTGACTTTTCTCTCTCTCTCTTCCCCATTATAAATGAGCGCTGTTAGGTGCATATCCAGTAGAGTTTGTGCAGAGAGTGGAAGCTTTGCAGGACATGGAGGCGCCAGCACGATCACTTGCATTTTATTTTTAATAACAGTGGAAGCTTAAAAATACGCCGTCATTTTTGCTCATAAATGTAAGAGTATACATCATTCGGAACTCCAAAGGGTCTATTTGTATTTGTGCACACTCACAATATCAACAAAACCTTGTGCTTTTGTAAAATAATGAAAACATACAGGACATACTTTCTGTCGTCTCGGTCTTGAGCAAGAGCGCTTCACCGACATGATAAATATATCTATAGAATGCTTTAAATGACTATTTTAAAACGAAATAATTCAAATCGAAAACAAAAACTCTTTCATTATGTAATCCGTAAAGATGCATTTCTCTCAAAGTCCAATGAGGATGGATAGTCAACATTGACTCAGAAAACATTAGTTTATTAACAAATAATTCAAATATATATTTGTTTGTTTTTTATTTTATTATAATTTTTTTGTTTGTTTGTTTTTTGGGCTGATGTGCCAAAATCAGTAGCCTATACGGCAGCATTTTTGTGCCATGTTTAAAAAATAACGAAATAAATCAAATGAATGTCATAATATTTTAAGAATAAAGTTAAAATTAAGATAATAAAATCATGTTATATAATGTGAAAATTTTATAGTTTATATTAAATTCCATAGGCCTACTCCTCCACAAAAAAAAGTCTGTGGCATCCATCATTCTTTTGACTTTTTTTAAAACTCTGATTGATCGATTCATGAGACATTCGTTTGTATTAAGTTGTTCTGATTTTTTTCAACATGCATTCACATATTCATGTTTATTTCGTGCTGCAAATATTAAAGAAGAAAATATAACTGATTCATATGCAGCTTGAACTGAGGCAATTCTCACTACAAATTAAAGAGCGTAAAAAGACGTTTGTTGTTTGTATTTTATCATAAAATTGACAGAAGGCTTAGACTTTGAAGTAACAAAGCACAAAGCTGCGATTATTGGGTGGCTTGCGTGCTACAAATAATGAATGGACTTCAAAACTTTAAACAACATTTAGCCTATAGCCTACCCTAAATAAAACAGCTTGTGAATAGTCACGATTCACGTAACTTTATTTACTTCCGAAAAATCAAACATACACATTTTTTGCATATGTGCCCGGGGCTGACTTGAATAAGACTGATGTACAAACCCGATTCCAAAAAAGTTGGGACACTGTACAAATTGTGAATAAAAACAGAATGCAATGATGTGGAAGTTTCAAATTTCAATATTTTCCCCCAGGGGTAGTGCTGCCACACAGAAAGTCTGTGGGAACACTGCAAATGTGTTGGTGAATTTGATTGTGTCCATGAGTTTCATATGTGATATTTTAGTGACAGTTCTCTTACTTTGTCTCAGGTGTCTGTGGAAAACCAGAACTGGCAGACAACACAGTACCTGTGTCAGACTTATCACATAACATTGGTGCCAGTATTCGCATTCAGTGTGCAAAGGGCTACGTAAGGAAAGCAGGAACATCCAGCCTGATCCGATGCACTCAACAACAAAATCACAATGCATCCTGGCACTCTGAACTTCCTCTCAAGTGTATACGTAAGTCTTGTTTGTTGCAAAGATACTTGACCCCTGGACATGGCATGTCTGCCCCTTGTTTTTTACCTTAGCTAAATTGTGGCCAATATTTAAATAAAATGAGAAAACAAATTCTTATTTGGTGGACAAGGATTCTACGTTTTTTTGTTTCCCAAACTAAATGCCGTCATCATCATAGTATATAATGAGCTGTCATCCTACAGCAAGACATGTTGCAGCAAGTTTGAAAAAGTCATAGAGGTTTGGAAAAACATAAATGATGACAGAATTTCCACATTAATCTTCATTAAGCTAAAGCTGTTTAGATAAGTGTTCTAACCCTTAGGGAGGAATTCACTAAACAGTAAAACACTATGTTTATACATGGTACCTCAGCGTAATACCCAAGTCTTATTCACTAACCATCACAATCCAGTTTACTGAGTCAATTAACATTCCAAACATGCCTCCTTTAGGCTCAATACAGATTGTGCTTTACTTACAAAAATGCCTATAACAATTTGTTCTGCACTATTGCCACCAATTAATGATTGAGGGCACTTTCTAGCAACCACGGCTATGGTAATTAGAAATGAAAATCACTGAAAATAACTATGCATCGGCAACAGCTCACAACAACCTTAGTAAACATGACATGATTCTGAAATGTAGAAGTTGGTTTAGTCATCTTAACAGATATCATATTATCAATGTAGTGATTTTATTGTGTCTACTTTGCAGCTGATCCCAAAAATCCACAAGTGGCCACAAGTAAGTGCCACCTTTCCTAATTCCTCTGTCTTTTCTGTATATGTTGTTGAAAAGTGCAGTGTGTAATTTATGCACCTCAATACCAAATGGATTAAAAGTATTTTTTTTTAAAAGAACACACATCACCCTTAAGACCTATCACAAAGATAGGTTGTTGACTTAAATGTCTGGTATTATTTATTTGCTTTAGCAGAGACCCAAAGTCCTCATCAACAATTCACATCATCCACCACAGAAAGAACATCGAGAAAGCATCCCACACTTCATGGCACAAGCTCGCCAATCACAAGTATGTATGTTACATTATGCTTGTATGTGTTGATATTGTTTGGGTAGGCCTACATTTACGTTAATTGCATGACACACTCCAGCAACAGGGCATATAGCTTTGACAACAACAAATGAAGTTGTCACAACCAAAACAAGAAGAACCACCAGCCAGCCAACTTTGATGAGCACAACAAAAGAGACGGAGTCTATTACAACAACCAATGAGACAACAACCAGCTACACAAGCAGAGAATATATGACAACAACATCGTCACATACGCTGTCAGGCTCTTTCACTACAACAACAGGTGAAGCCATTTACTATGATGGGTTAAGGTGCATGGGGCTAACTAGTTAACACAAAAAATAACATTCTGTCATTATTTACTCACCCTTGTGTCATCCCAAGCCAATATGACTTTCTTTCTTCCACAGAACCCAAAAGGAGAAGTTTAGCAGAATGTTCACGCTGCTCTTTTCCATATAGTATATAAAGACCAAGAGCTGTCAAGCTCTTTATTTACTCATGTACACATTCAATCTTCCTATAAACATGTCGCAACAAGTTTGAAAAAGTCATAGAGGTTTGGAAAAACATAAATGATGACAGAATTTCCATAATAATCTTCATTAAGCTAAATCATTGTTTAGGTATAAAAATGTGTTCTAACACTTATTAATCCGGGCTCAGACTACAGGAGTTTTAAAATCCTAACCGATTATGAAATCTGGTTGCAGCACACCCATAAAGAGAAACTTCACAGATTTTCTTCCCTCAAATCGTATACATACACATATTAGCTAGCACGCTAGCAGCTTTCAACACTCACGTTCAAAACTGAGGTGATTTCACCCCAGAGCTTGTCTTTGTCCTTTGACAAAGGGTGGTACATTTTTGACACATTTTACAAACTGTCGTGTCATTGCAAAACTTCCACACGCAATTTCCTCTATCTCCACTATTTAACGGACCTGTACAGCAGCTTGTTTTGTGGTCGCACATTGGCTATTGTGAAAGTTCTGATGTAATCATAGCCGGAGGTGCAAGATTCGATCTGTAAACGCCTCACATTACCTGATAATCCGCGCCGAACATCGGAACCGACCGAGGTCCTTCACAAGACTTTTTCTCAGATTCTCTGTAAATCAGAAATACCGGTAAATCGGCCTAAAACTCTTGTAGTGTGAGCCCGACTTTAGAGAGGAATTCACTAAAAAGTAAAACCCTTTTTTGCACATGGTACATCAGCGTAATACCTGAGTCTTATTCACTAACCATCACAATCCAGTTTACCGAGGGCAGGGCTGAAATTGCACTGCGTAGTCAATATTTAAATGAACTAGTGAAGTCACTGCCATTCCTTTTCATGCAAATACGCCTCCTTTAGTCTCAATATAGACTATTCTTTAGTCTCAATATCGACTGTTCTTTAGTCTCAATATAGACTATTCTTTAGTCTCAATATCGACTGTTCTTTAGTCTCAATATAGACTGTTCTTTATTCGCAAAAATTGCCTGGCACAATTTGTACTGCACTATTACCACCAATAAAAACCTGTCTGTTTACTTACGGTAATTAACAGATATGGGTGTCATGCCATAACATATTTTTAATACGACTGAGTTTATATTTAATGTGAATTTACATTGAAAGTTAATGTGAATAAAAACATTGCAAGTTAGGCTTCTAATCATAACATTATCATTGTACAGAAAGAGAGCAAAGAACATTTACATTATCAAAGAACATTTTCACTGGCAGTCTAGTTCAAGCACTCTCAAAAACTCCCATTAAAATCACTGAAGCTGTTTACACTATGAAATTAATATCTTACAGATTCGTACACACATTTGCACTTTGTTGTATCTGACGAGAGAATTCGCCAGAAAGAGGTATTCAGGCAGCGAGCGGGTGAAGCGGCATTTTAGCGATGACTCATATGAACACCTCTGATTGGTCATTGCATTCATAAGCTCAACAGCATCGTTTATGATTGGTTATAATGCGCAGTGCTGTAAAAAATGCATCTGTATCTGGCTCAGCGCCAGCCAGCGAACGCAGATTTGAATTTAGCAGCTGAGGATATGATGCACTTGAACGTTCTAATCACACCGGTGTGATTCTATTAAATATAGAAAATATGAATCGGCTATTTTTGTCTTTTGGAAGCTGCATTCAAAATCCGCCTCACATTACCTGATAATCCGCGCCGAACATCGGAACCGACCGAGGTCCTTCACAAGACTTTTTCTCAGATTCTCTGTAAATCAGAAATACCGGTAAATCGGCCTAAAACTCTTGTAGTGTGAGCCCGACTTTAGAGAGGAATTCACTAAAAAGTAAAACCCTTTTTTGCACATGGTACATCAGCGTAATACCTGAGTCTTATTCACTAACCATCACAATCCAGTTTACCGAGGGCAGGGCTGAAATTGCACTGCGTAGTCAATATTTAAATGAACTAGTGAAGTCACTGCCATTCCTTTTCATGCAAATACGCCTCCTTTAGTCTCAATATAGACTATTCTTTAGTCTCAATATCGACTGTTCTTTAGTCTCAATATAGACTGTTCTTTATTCGCAAAAATTGCCTGGCACAATTTGTACTGCACTATTACCACCAATAAAAACCTGTCTGTTTACTTACGGTAATTAACAGATATGGGTGTCATGCCATAACATATTTTTAATACGACTGAGTTTATATTTAATGTGAATTTACATTGAAAGTTAATGTGAATAAAAACATTGCAAGTTAGGCTTCTAATCATAACATTATCATTGTACAGAAAGAGAGCAAAGAACATTTACATTATCAAAGAACATTTTCACTGGCAGTCTAGTTCAAGCACTCTCAAAAACTCCCATTAAAATCACTGAAGCTGTTTACACTATGAAATTAATATCTTACAGATTCGTACACACATTTGCACTTTGTTGTATCTGACGAGAGAATTCGCCAGAAAGAGGTATTCAGGCAGCGAGCGGGTGAAGCGGCATTTTAGCGATGACTCATATGAACACCTCTGATTGGTCATTGCATTCATAAGCTCAACAGCATCGTTTATGATTGGTTATAATGCGCAGTGCTGTAAAAAATGCATCTGTATCTGGCTCAGCGCCAGCCAGCGAACGCAGATTTGAATTTAGCAGCTGAGGATATGATGCACTTGAACGTTCTAATCACACCGGTGTGATTCTATTAAATATAGAAAATATGAATCGGCTATTTTTGTCTTTTGGAAGCTGCATTCAAAATCCACTTGGCTCATAAAATCTGAGGGGTCACTTGGGCATGACGCCTCTGATTGTAGTTTTGTCTTCGTTTACTTAGTTAAGCAGTAGCAGCCCATTGCTCATCAATCATCACTCAAAATACTGTATACTAAAGGACATCATTATTATCTACTGTAAAGTTACAGTAGTAATTTAGCAGACAAATAATCATATCATTTATAATAGGTTTAGGGAGAGCTATAGGGCAGACAACCCTTACGGAAATTAACAATGATTTTACCTAACCATGGTAACCACAAATTATTAACTATGGTTTTGGCTACACTAACCATAGTTTAACCATGGAATTTGTAGTAAAAATAGTAATCCAAATGGTAATCCATTTGCCAAAAAAAACAACAACAAAAAAAACATGGTTAGGCCTACTGCACTTTAAAAAAAAAAAATCCAAAGCATTGTTATATGCAGTGTTTCCTGTAGTTATGCAAAATTTGGTTTCAAAAACAGTATCAGTAAACTATTTCTTATGATTTTAAATCTGCATTGCACTACAGATCAATCTCAAAATAAAAGGCGGTACTAAAGTCTGATTTTGTGGTGGATGTGTTCAAATTTTATCATCTTAATTCAAGTGATGAAGGATTTTGAAAGTCTGACAGTATCAGTGTCCATCGGCAACAGCTCACAACAACCTTAGTAAACATGACATGATTCTGAAATGTAGAAGTTGGTTTAGTCATCTTAACAGATATCATATTATCAATGTAGTGATTTTATTGTGTCTACTTTGCAGCTGATCCCAAAAATCCACAAGTGGCCACAAGTAAGTGCCACCTTTCCTAATTCCTCTGTCTTTTCTGTATATGTTGTTGAAAAGTGCAGTGTGTAATTTATGCACCTCAATACCAAATGGATTAAAAGTATTTTTTTTTAAAAGAACACACATCACCCTTAAGACCTATCACAAAGATAGGTTGTTGACTTAAATGTCTGGTATTATTTATTTGCTTTAGCAGAGACCCAAAGTCCTCATCAACAATTCACATCATCCACCACAGAAAGAACATCGAGAAAGCATCCCACACTTCATGGCACAAGCTCGCCAATCACAAGTATGTATGTTACATTATGCTTGTATGTGTTGATATTGTTTGGGTAGGCCTACATTTACGTTAATTGCATGACACACTCCAGCAACAGGGCATATAGCTTTGACAACAACAAATGAAGTTGTCACAACCAAAACAAGAAGAACCACCAGCCAGCCAACTTTGATGAGCACAACAAAAGAGACGGAGTCTATTACAACAACCAATGAGACAACAACCAGCTACACAAGCAGAGAATATATGACAACAACATCGTCACATACGCTGTCAGGCTCTTTCACTACAACAACAGGTGAAGCCATTTACTATGATGGGTTAAGGTGCATGGGGCTAACTAGTTAACACAAAAAATAACATTCTGTCATTATTTACTCACCCTTGTGTCATCCCAAGCCAATATGACTTTCTTTCTTCCACAGAACCCAAAAGGAGAAGTTTAGCAGAATGTTCACGCTGCTCTTTTCCATATAGTATATAAAGACCAAGAGCTGTCAAGCTCTTTATTTACTCATGTACACATTCAATCTTCCTATAAACATGTCGCAACAAGTTTGAAAAAGTCATAGAGGTTTGGAAAAACATAAATGATGACAGAATTTCCATAATAATCTTCATTAAGCTAAATCATTGTTTAGGTATAAAAATGTGTTCTAACACTTATTAATCCGGGCTCAGACTACAGGAGTTTTAAAATCCTAACCGATTATGAAATCTGGTTGCAGCACACCCATAAAGAGAAACTTCACAGATTTTCTTCCCTCAAATCGTATACATACACATATTAGCTAGCACGCTAGCAGCTTTCAACACTCACGTTCAAAACTGAGGTGATTTCACCCCAGAGCTTGTCTTTGTCCTTTGACAAAGGGTGGTACATTTTTGACACATTTTACAAACTGTCGTGTCATTGCAAAACTTCCACACGCAATTTCCTCTATCTCCACTATTTAACGGACCTGTACAGCAGCTTGTTTTGTGGTCGCACATTGGCTATTGTGAAAGTTCTGATGTAATCATAGCCGGAGGTGCAAGATTCGATCTGTAAACGCCTCACATTACCTGATAATCCGCGCCGAACATCGGAACCGACCGAGGTCCTTCACAAGACTTTTTCTCAGATTCTCTGTAAATCAGAAATACCGGTAAATCGGCCTAAAACTCTTGTAGTGTGAGCCCGACTTTAGAGAGGAATTCACTAAAAAGTAAAACCCTTTTTTGCACATGGTACATCAGCGTAATACCTGAGTCTTATTCACTAACCATCACAATCCAGTTTACCGAGGGCAGGGCTGAAATTGCACGGCGTAGTCAATATTTAAATGAACTAGTGAAGTCACTGCCATTCCTTTTCATGCAAATACGCCTCCTTTAGTCTCAATATAGACTATTCTTTAGTCTCAATATCGACTGTTCTTTAGTCTCAATATAGAC